GTTAGATATCGTAAAAGATCCTTGTGTCATATCGGATGAATTTAATTTATTGTGTCGTGCTTTTTCTGCTAAATTTATTAATTCAAAAGATAACTGTTTAATATTCTTTTTATCAACATCTTTTAATACAGGTACAAATAAACCATCTTTTACATCTACAGCAACTCCTATATTAATGTACCCACTAAATTTACTTTCTGATCGAATGAGGTACTGAAGTCGAAAATCGAAGCACTTTTACTGCCCAAAAACGTGGTGACAGACACATAAATAAAAATTAAAAAACACACATCATGGTAAAATCAATACATTTCTTGATCTACTGAGAATCTAAAATTGTTTTTTCAGATGTAATTTTACATTTCTASATTTTAACTTGAAATCACGTGCCTAGTATATTTTTTTTTAAATYGAATAAAAATATTTTTTGGTTCTAAACTTCTAAACTTCCTTAAAATAAAATAAATTCAAATTATTTTACAAGTACATTATTTTAAGTTTATTGTATATGAAAAGTTTTTTGGTGTTTTTCTAGGACATTAAATTTTTTATATAGTTATATGTTTAGGTGTTTTTTAATATAAAAAAACATTTAAATTAAATAAAATAACTTAACCCTTAAGTAAAATCTATGTGGACAATTTACCAAAACTCATTTTTTCGTAAACATTTTAGTTTTTTTTCGATGAATAAAATATAAGTGTAAAATATGAACAAGGAATCTATTATTATGTTTAATTTATCTTTGATTTTATTTAGCTAGTTAATATTGACTCGCTTTATGTGACTATTTATTAATTTCTATTCTATACGCATCTAAAATAACTAATAATAATTTTTGTTTTGTTTTTTTTTTAATTCTGTCAAAAATGTATAAAATATCGAGATTCTATTAATTTTGAAATTATAAGTTTGATGAAAATTTTGTTATTATGATAAATGTATAAAAAAAACTTGTTTCAAGAATTATATCTCAGAATTTTCTCATCTCCATTATGATAATAATACTGAATTTGTTTTAAATAAACTTTATGCGTTTAATTTTGTAAGTATATAAATTTAGGATTAGAATTTAGAATAATAATAATTAAGAAAAAGCAGGTAGGTAATACCTATTTGAAGACAGTATTTTATTTTTTTTTAATTCAAACATAATAAAAACAAACATAATAAACGTGCCTAGTTATAAATATTCTGATAGTTATAAAATTCATATTATTTTTATCTTAATTAGTAAATTATAGTTGTTTAATTGTTTATAATATTCCTAAAATTGTATAGATTCATAGAATTTGAAAAAAAATCTACAAAAAATAGTCTGAAAACCTACATTAATTTATAGTTTAGACTTGTTTAGTAAAATTCATTAGTAAAAATTGAAAATTTTCATATTATTATAAATTAAATAATATGCTTTATACTCGTTAGCCTAATTCATTGTTTAAACTAAGCCAACCTAATTTTTTTTTCAGTTTCAAGCAGTCGTCCTTGGGCTTTTTGTTGCATCCGGCGCATTTGCAGATGTCGTACACCTCAAGAACGTCAAAAAATGCCATCATAAAACAGAAACTCAAAATCCAAATGACTATGGCGGCCTTCCGGCCGCAACTGGATATAATGCAAACGTTGCTTATTCGCATCCACCCCCGTTATCGTTCGGCGATAAATCTTTCGGTATTTCATCTACCCCAGCTCCATTTGTGTACGGCACCCAACCAACGCCTGCTCCGTTCGTGTTCAAATCATTGCAGTTCACCTCTGCACCAGGTTCGTTCTCGTACGGTACTCAACCCACTCCAGCACCGTTCCTGTTCAATTCACGTCAGTCTACACCTGCCCCATTAACATACAGCGGGCCATCGTCTGCACCAGAGGACTCATTCAAGTCAATTGCTGCGTTTTACTCACAGTCAACTCCTGCAACATTTGGAATCGAATCCCAGTCCMCTCCTGCACCATTAGAGTTTAGCGATTCAACATCTTCAGCAGTGGTTTCAGTGAAGTCTCACGGTTCGTTTGGATCCCAGAACACCCCTGCCCCATTTGAATACAGCACTTCGTCCTCCACTCCTGCGCCGTTCGAATATAGCACATCATCTTCCATACTTCAAACTACTCCTGCCCCGTTAACATACAGCGGACAATCCTTTGCACCAGAAGACTCATTCAAGTCTATTGTCACATCATACTCCCAATCTACTTCTACTCCATTTGCAGCCGAATCACATTCCACAGCAGMACCGTTAGAATTTAATGGATTGTCTGGCCAAGCTGCAGYGGTTTCAGCAAAATCTGTTAACACATTTGGATCCCTTCCCATCCCTGCCGCATACTCGTACTCACAGGGAAGCGCATTCGCCCAGTACGGAAGCCAATCTGCACCGTCTCCAGCTCACGAGATCACCATTAACCGAGAAATACCAGTGCCATATTATGTTCAAATCGAGAAGCGCATTCCGTATCCAGTGCTGGTGCATGTCCCGCATCCATACCAGGTAACTGTCGAGAAACACGTTCCATACGCGGTTCGCGTGCACGTCGACCGCGCTGTGCCCGTTCCGAGTCCGTATCCGGTAGAGGTAGAGAAACGTGTCCCATATCCAGTCGATAAGCCTGTGCCGTATGAAGTTCGTGTGCCTGTCGATCGACCATACCCAGTGAGCGTCCCATATGAGAAACCAGTGCCATACGCAGTTGAAAAACCGGTGCCTTATCCAGTACGTGTCAATGTCGATCGTCCGTATCCAGTAGAGAAGCCTGTGCCTTACCCTGTTGCCGTCGAACGCCAGGTGCCGTACGCTGTCGAGAAGCCTGTGCCATACCCTGTCGAAAAGCCAGTGCCATATCCAGTCGAAAAGCGTATTCCGTATCCAGTCAAGTATGAGGTGCCAGTCAAAGTGCCGGTTCCTGTTCAGGTTAAGGTGCCCGTGAACGTCGACAGGCCAGTCCCGTATCCGGTTGAAAAGCAGGTCCCGTACCCCGTCGCTGTGCCATATGAGGTCAAGGTTCCTGTACCCGTCCAAACACCAGCTCAGCGTTTCGCCACCGTCCATTACTATCAGCAGTCACCAATAGTCGTGCAACAAGAATCGTTTAAGTCATACACTTCCGGATCAACCGCAACTCCGGCAACCGACAATAACCTTGTTTCTTCGTTAGTGTCTGGATCTGGACAGGCTGTATCTGGTTACACAAAATCTAACTACGCTGATTTTGGCGCAGTCCAAGAGAATGGATTGTATGRTTTTGGCCAAAAGTCGTTCTACGGGTCTTCAACTCCCGTCCCATCTACGACAGCTGAATACACAGTATCCTCGWCTTCACCCCAATATGAATCTTCCAACTTTGATTCGATAGCCCAACAAGTTGCTTCCATTKCAGGGTCAGRGCAGGCTGGATCTGATTACMCGAAATCTAATTACGCCGGATCGGGCTTAAWCCAGGATAGCGGATCATACGGTTTCGATCAGCAATCGTTCTATGGATCAACAACTCCCGTTCCATCTACGACAGCTGAATACACAGCATCTTCGTCTTTACCCCAATATGAATCATCCGAATTTGATTCGATAGCCCAACAAGTCGCTTCCATTGCAGGGTCTGGACAGGCTGGATCAGATTACGCTGGATTGGGCTTAACCCAGGATAGTGGCTCTTACAGTTTCGGACAACAGTCGTTCTTTGGATCCAAAATTCCTGTTMCGTCTTCRAAATCTGGATACACAGAATCGTCGTCTTCACCTCAATTCGATTCATCCAAAATCGATTCATCAAACGAACAAGTTGTTTCCATTGGAGGGTCACGGAAAACTTCATCTGATAAAGCTGAATCTGACTACATAAGATCTAACAATGCCGAATCAGGCCAAACCCAGAATAGTGGCTCGTACAGTTTTGGCCAGCAGTCATTTTACGGATCCAGAACTCCTGTTTCGTCTTCGAATACTGGATACACAAAATCTTCGTCTTCACCTCAGTACGAATCATACAAATTTGATTCAGTAAATCAACAAGTTGATTCCGCTGGAGGGTCTTCCACCGCTGATTCCCAGCAGACCGAAAATCTCGATGTTGGCAAAAAATAGATATTTGAATTTTTTTCAACATGATTAAGTTATATTTACTTTTCATAAAAGCTATACTTTATATTATGTTGTATTATTATAATAAAACACGTTACCTGTATAATATATTTTAAACATACAATTATTTAGTGGTTTATTTATACGATGATCATGTTGTACATGTCTAAAAAAAAACATCAAAATAACGAGTCAATAATCYCCTCCCCCAACGTCGATCCGTGGAAACCAATTTTTAAGGTGTTTGTTTTTTTGTGGTATATACTAGTGTGAACAGAAATGCAAACGGAAGTGTATTTACTGTGGCAATTACTTTTACAACAGTATGTGTATGTTTTGAGAATAAAATAGGCTGTTACCACGTATCGAGAAGAGTAAAAATTGTTTTTCATATCAAAGAGATAAACGTAATGAATTCAAAATGCTAAAAAAAAAATAAAAATTGTTATATTGACAATATTGTCTCATGGCAAACAGAACATGTCCAATTGATATGACAYCATGGTGTAGGGTAGTAACTGAACAACATTGCGTGATCTAACAATTATAACTTCTAAGTATACTAATGTCTGTGACCCAGATCGTTCAGACTAGAATAATTCAATTTCGGGKGTGAATAATAGGCATCAATAAACTGACAACGACTATGGTTGAGACTTTTTTTCGTCTCGGTACTCGTTGCGCGCACTTYCCTCAACGTAGAACATTCGACTCTGATTCGTGTTGGTAGAGTGTACGTCATATTATATGGTTATATATTTTTACCTCTTGCTTGGTACCACTGCCGAAACCGAGTGAAATAATAATACATACCTATATTAATATTATACTAATATTTTACTCGAGTGAGTAATATTTAAATTTTTCTTTCAGAAAAAAATGAATGTAATAACATCTTAGTTTCCTGGAAAATAAATATCCCCTACCTATACATCCCGGCGGATAGATTTTAAATGTATGAGGAATTTGTGATATGGTAGCAGAGGCAGCGGACGTTTGGATCGCAGTGAAAATCATGGTAATACACCAATATCTGAATTTAAATTTTACGATCATTTTGACTTTCCATCCGTTAGACGAGGGTCGAAGTTTTCCGCAATCATTTATATTTCAAGCAACCTCTTCGATAATACATTGACCCATACGTCCCTCTCTTAACCACCCCGATGCTTACATGTATGTATATATATATATATTATATACTAATAAATGTAACGTTCTTTCCGTTTCTCGGCTGGTATAAAAATAAATTATTTTTAAAAGAAAACAAGGATTGAGTACCCCCGAGACAATGTTTGGCATTTTCGGAACGTTGTATCTTATAATGACATGTGATGAATTATGCAGTGGAATGGTAAAAATATTGTTTTACTGACTGCTTCTCCGTACGGACGTCCGTTAAAAATTAATGTTATACATTGTAAACATATATATATCACACATTATAAATCGTTATGTATAGGTAATATTACAATCTCATYATCTGGTCCTATAATATACCTAAAATCCTTGTAATATACTTAATTTCTATAGGTATTATAGAATAAATATCAGAATAAAAAACATACACTAAAGTGATTTCCCGGAAATATTATATGAAATAATCACTTATAATTTATATCCAAAATGTAAATTTATCTTAAATCTCATTAAACGCTTGGCCATAACAACACTGTATTTAATCGTGAGTATATAGTGTTTTCCAAAATAGAATAAAAAAGTGTGATATAGAATATATTGATTTAAAGTAACATACGGTCATGGACATACGGTAGTCCCTTGTTTTAAAAACTACTGTCGTTAGTGTCGCATAAAAGTAAAGATATCTAATACACAATCGTTTCGTCGATGAAAAGCTAGTACATGTTTTAAAAATTAAAGCAACTTTTAAGTCGATTTAATAAACTCAAAGCAAAGAACTCGAACCACCGAAAACAAAAAGTACTAATGAGTTTGTGAACTTAGTTTAAGTTTATGCTCAAAAAAACAATTTTATATTTTAAAGGAACTTTCAACGAGATGTGTTATGTTCTCTCCGCCAAGTGTTGGGCGATACATGCAATTAACATTATTGAAATACAAGCACGAGTGTTATTGTTATCCTTCTCTTTGGACGCGGACAACATTGATCTCCACATTTTGATATGCCTGCACATAATAAAAAATACGATTTTAGACGGATGATTGTTTTTGCACGAAACATCCCACTAAATCCTGTAGTATACTGTATAGTGTATATTATGTATTACAATGAGACGCAGTACTCTGTAGTCGATTTCCGAAGGGTATGGCACCGAGCATGAGAAGTATCTTTGATTTTTTTACTCGTCTCATATTGTAGCTACCCATCCCACGGTGTTTTCGCGGCCTTTGGGATGCCACAAAGTTATACACCATCACCTTCACATTATCTTCCTAATCGACACACCTCCACCATCGTTGTCGTCGCTCCATCATAATATTATTATTATTATACGTACCCACAAACACAACATCTGCGTGAACAACCGCCCTCGCTATACTGAATTAAAGTCGTATGCATTATTCATCCCTGTTGTATATTCACAATGTTTTCGTGTTCTACTAACGTTATAAATAATAATACATACATAATAATAATATTAATAACAACGCAAAAACAACAATGATAATAATAATACTAAAGCGATTGAATAATATTTTAACAACAATACGATCAGGATCGAATCGAGAACAATCAGTATATAATTAGAACCTGGATGACGCGCAACGTAGAGATTGCTTTTCGGTTGTTTTTGTCTAACTCTAAGCGTTATAATATATTATTCATATTGATATGAATTTTGTTGTTCGATTATAATATATTATATTACTTAGAACATGATGATACACTTACTCACTAAACTCCATCCTGCATATTTTTTCAATCCCTGATGYATTCTTGTTGCAGTTGCAAGTTGCACATTTATATTTAACTACCTCGGTATGATATTTATTACTATTGTAATCGCGAAGCCGTTTATTATCGATACTATAAGGAGCTAATTGATTAATCTAATCAAACTTCCAAAATATTTTAAATACGTATTATCATTTCTCAAACTATATCCGACGGAGGATCAAATATTACCAGCTATAAGCGTAACCTATATATATAACCTAACCTAATCTTCATTGCAGGGTGTACAATGGTTACGAAAACACAATTTAACGTTAAGCTACCTCTATCATTTAAGCACCTTTAAGTTTTCGTTTGGAAATTCACTCGAAAGACGTTCTAGTACGGTTTCCTTTAGACATTTTTAGGTTGTTTTCCAATATACTTGGACACTTGAGTTTATTATTTAATTTAAAGAACATAATGACCGCATTCATATTGATATCTTAATTTTACAAGATCGCCAGATTTTCACACGTTTAGTACCATTAATTTCAAAATTGTTCTGTGATGAAGTTTTTACTTTTTTCTCGATATTTCTATTTAAAGCGATGCGTTAATTTCTTAAGGAACGGCGTTTACAAGATGGTTTATCGTAATAGTAAACCGATTTTGAGTACAGTGTACAGATCGAACGTTCAATATAGACTATTAGACTAATWAACATATCATAGACATATATGTCTAACAGTTTATAGATTGTTGACATTACATTATTGTAATACCGTCGTTGGCATCGGAGCCAATGATCGTCCGGAGAAGACTGAAACACTTTTTGAGTATCCCACCATTTCCAAACAGCCAAACAGAAATCACATTTTTTTTTTTTTTTTTTTGATTATGGGACGTATATTATACTTTTCTCAGTGTATTGTAGTTAATTGTTAAAGAGTTTTCAAAAACAGCATCAMTGACGAAAACAATAACAGTAACGATAATAATTATTATGAATGAAAATAAAACAACGACGGCACGTGTGGATAATAAAAAATAACAATGCTCCACCTCAAACCATAATTATCATCGTGTATATGTGTATTTCTTATTGATGTTTATCGTTGTTTTGTCTTAATCCAAAACACTTTTTCGCCACATARACGTCCAAACAAATAACTGTGGCGTAGCAAATTTTTGCTCAGACTTACACAATTTGGTTCAGTCAATTTTGATGTTAGCCTGTGTAGCCTGTGACAATTTGGTTTCAGTTTTTTTTTCCGATATTTTAATTTAAATCTAGGAATCCGTGATGTTTGTGCGGGAAAAACGCATACGGATGTGGAATAGCRCGTTTACAAAATGATTTATCGTAATGTTTAACCGCTTTTGAATCCCGATGGATAAATTGAATATATTAAACTGTAACTATATTGTGATAATACCGTCGTCGGCGCCAACGATTGTCTGAAAAAGACTGGAAAACTTTTTGATTTCCCAATGAGTTTCACGACTTATAAGAACAGACATTGCAACTTTTGATGACGTATGCAATACTGCTAGACGTATAATTATATAGTTAGTAATTATTGTTTTTGTTTTTGTGGTTTTTTTTTTTTAATAATAAAGCAATGACCAAGTCAACAACAACTATGTTAGTAATAATTATGAATAAAAATAAACTGCCAACACAAGCACGTGCAAATAATAATACTAATATGCTCCGACCGAGACCGTCCTCATCGCGTGTGTGTATTTCTTGTTGATGTTTATCACTGTTGTTTTAGCCACRAAAACTTTTTTACACATAGATAACGTTCAAACAAATAACTATGTGCGATAAACTTTTCGCCGAGCACGTGCACCAAACAAAACTCACCCAACGTATACACAAGCGACGGCGTTTGTTTGCACAATGATATAGTACTATTACATTCTTAAATCCCAAACACTCACGACACATCATATTTTAAGTACACTCGTTTTTTTTTTTCTAAATCAAAACCCACGTGAAACACGCAAACCCACAAACGAGCGTGCACACGTCGGTTGATGGAACACATCGTTACARTAGGTATTATGTACTTTTTTAATATCATAATGTGAATGGGTCCGAATAGCTAACGTACAAACAGCCAGCCGAAAATACGGAACGATTCGTCTAACACTCCAACACAAGACACTGTCTTTACTTCGGTAAACACTAACGTTTTCGAAAATA